AGTTTGGCTTCCTCCATCATGGGGGCAACCAAGCCTCCTGCTTGCTCCATCTCTGTGGCTGCCGGCCGCCATCTTGGTTGGGTTAATATGCATATAGTCACTCTGATTGGCAGGTGGGCGTGGCTTAAGGCATAGTGAAGGTACAGTCAATTTGCATGTTTGTCTTTTATTAGTGCAGATAGAAGATTGTTTATGCATGGCTTAAGTCTTGAGACAGGACTTATTCTTCATACATTAAAAGTCTCCAACATGCTCAAGGAAGAGTTTTATCAATAACTGACCCTCTATAGCTCAGAGTTCCTCTGGAGATCACAGTTGTATATGACATTTGAAAATATTTGCATAACTTGTTTTGGGTTTTAAGAGGTATGCTTAGTTTATTCCTATGTGGCCCTGAGCCTCCCTCCAATATGGCATGTCCATAATTGTGTTCTAAAAATATGCACCATTACTTTTAAAACTTACAGGTCCCTAGCCATCAAATGGCAATAAATAGAGTTAATATGCAATGTAAAAAGAAAAAAATTGCTTCAAAACATTATGGCATTGGGCTGTACTTATTTTCACACTTCCTACACTTTCTGCTCTTCTGAAGAACAGCCTGGACTTACCTTTAATCTTCGGCGGTTCATCCTGACATACCAATTGGTCAGAACATCGACAAACTTGACCAGGCGGGGCACCACAGTATAGAGCCTATAAGCTAAAAGTAAGATCAATCAATCAGGAACTGAGAATAGACTAAGCATTTGGGGTGCTTGGGGAAGGAGTGGACACAAGGAAAGAACGAGTAGCCCTGTTGTCCAAGGGTCCCCATGCTTGTTGAGACAGAATGAACCAAAAGGAAGCAATCACACTGGCTCCTACACTGAGGACATACTCAATGACCGTAAACTGTCTTGGGGTGCACACAACTGCCCTGTGAGCCACTGTCAGTGAGAAAAATGGATATCCTGTATGTGTGGCCAAGAGGCCAACACTGCCCATCACACGACGCCAAGAGGCAGGTTTACCTGGAGCTGTACAGTGCTAGAGCACCACACAGGCCCAACTTCCTTCACTGTGCTCCTCTGTACGTCAACTAAGACTGACACACAGTTTCTCAACCAGAGCAACTCTGTTCCACAGGGGACACTGGCAATGCCTGGAGACATCCTTGTTATAACTGAGCATATGGGTGCTCCACGCATCCGGCAAAGGAAGCCCAGTGATACTTGCTGCTCAACATCATATAACACACAGCCCAGCCCCACCAGAGAACCCACAAGCCCAAGCTATCCTTCATGATGCCACCGAGAAACTTAGCAAGAACCCTGAGTAAAATAGAATAGGCTTTCTGAAGACCAAAATAGGAACATACCTCATTCTACTGCAGTTGATTTATTATGTTTCAGATTTTTTAAAATACAAACTGAAGGATTCTGGCAAACCTGCAAGTTAATTGGCACCATTTTTCCAACAAAATTTGCTCGCTTTGTGTCAGTCATGATTCTTTCAATATTTCAAACTATTTCATTACTATATTTGTTATGATGATCTTGGGTCAGTGGTCGTTGATGTTACTATTGCAACTGTTGTTTTGGGGTATCATGAATTATCACAAAACATTTCAAACTTAATCGATAAGTGTTGTGTGTTCCAATTGCTCTATTGACTGGCCATTCCCCTATCTCTCTCCTGCTCCTCAGGCCTCTCCAGTCCCTGAGATACAACAACATTGAAATTAGGCAATTAATAAAACTACAATGGCCTCCAAGTGCTCAAATGAAAGAAGAGCTGCACTATTACTCCTGGTGAGGATGCTGTGGAGACTGTTGAAATGGCAACGAAGGATTTAGACCAGTGGTTCTCAACCTTCAGTCCCTTTAAATACAGTTCCTCATGTTGTGACCCAACCATAAAATTATTTTCATTGCTACTTTATAACTGTAATGTTGCTACTGTTATGAATCGTAATGTGATCATCTGATATGCAGGATGGTCTTAGGCGATCCCTGTGAAAGGGTCGTTCAACCGTCTAAGGGCCGGACTATAGTTTAAATCTTATTTTGAAGTAAAAAAAACAAAACGGGAACAAATACAATATTTGTATTTGCATGTGGCCCACGGGTTGTAGTTTGAGGACTCCTAGTCAAAGGGGTCGCAACCCACAGGTTGAGAACCGCTGATTTAGAATGTAACATAAACTTAGTTGGTGAAGCAGCAACAGGGTCTGAAACTGACTCTAATTTTGAAAGAATGTCTACTGTGGGTAAAATGCTATCAAACAGCAACCCATGCTATAGAGAAACTGTTCATGAAAGGAAAAGTCAACTGATGCAGCAAACTTCAGTCACTGTTGGCCAATTTTAAAAAATGCCACAGCCTCCACCACCACCCTGATCACTGAGCAGGCATCAAGATGAAGGAAAGAGCCCTGGCCGGGTAGCTCATTTGGCTCCAGTGTCATCCCAATATGCCAAGGTTGAGGGTTAAATCCCCAGTCAGGGCACAGACAAGAATCAAACAAAGAATGTATAAATAAACGGAACAACAAATCAATGTTTCTCTCCCCCATCCTCTCTCTAATATCAATCAATAAATCCTACATAAGAAAAGCCTAATATGCTAAGTGTCTGGTCGTCTTTGTGACTGGTCAACCATTCAACCATCAAAGTGTAATATGCTAATGATATGCAAAGGCCGCTCAACCGCTCACTATGACATGCAATGACCACCAGGGGTAGGTTAGCTTGCTGCTGGGGTCCAGCCAATCGGGACTGAGCAAGACAGGTTGGACACGCCCTAGGGCCCTCCTGCAGTCCCTTCTCGGCCCTGATCGTGCACTAGTGCGGTCCTTCAGCCTGGCCTGTACCCTCTTGCAATCTGGGACCCCTCGGGGGATGTCGGAGAGCCAGTTTTGGCCCAATCCTGCAGGCCACTTCACTCAGGAGGGCGCCAGATTGGGAATGATTGGGCGTAAGCCCGCGGCAGGCACAGTGGGGCCAGGATGAGCGGGAGTGGCAAGTAGGAGTTGTAGGCAGCGCTGGACTGTGGGTTTCGGCAAGATTCTCACAGGCCACCCAGAGGGACCCCATCCATGCACGAATTTGTGCACTGGGTCTCTAGTAAATAAATAAAGGAAAGAACCCACACCAGCAAAACGGCTCCTACTGAAGGCTCAGATGGCTAACATTTTTTAGCAGCATTTTTTGTTGCTGTTAATCCTCACCCAAGTATATTTTTTCCCATTGTTTTTTAGAGAGTGGAAGGGAGGCAGGAGGGAGAGGAGGAGAGAGACATCGACTGGATACCTGCTACATGTGCCCCAATCAGGGGCAGGGAGTAAACCTCAAACCAGGTACATACCCTTAACTGAAATTTGAACCTGTGACCCTTTCGGGTACGGATCTATGCTCTAACCACTGAACCCCACCAGCCACGACAAGCATTAAACTATTCTTTTTTCTTTTTTTTTTAGTAAACTGTTTTTAAAATTAAGGTGTGGACATTGTTTTAGACACAATGCTATTGCACACTTAATACTATTGAGTACAACGTACATATTCAATGGAAATCAAAAAATTCATGTGACTTGCTTTATTGTATACTAGAGGCCTGGTGCACAAAAATTTGTGCATGGGGGAAGGGTTCCCTCTCAGCCCGGCCTGTGCCCTCTCGCAGTCTGGAAGCCCCACAATTGATCACCCCGCAGAGGGAGACCCTGCCCACTTTCCACAGTGCCTCCAGCCAGGTAGCCTGGGCCTCCCTCTGCGGGGTAATTGATCGCCCCAAAGAAGTAGACCCGCCCACCCAGCCAAGGCTCTATGGTGGATTGCCCCCCCCCACCAGAGGAATGTCCCACCCACCTCCCTAGTGCCTCTCCACACCCCCTTCAGGGTGGGAGTCCCCACTGGGGTGCCTGGACAGTCTGGGTGAGGGGCTGAGGGCCATTTTCAGGCTGGCCTGCAACTGAAGCTCCCAGCAACTGCAGGCCCATCCCCGTCCAGTCCCTGGCTGTTTGCACATTCCCAGACAGATGATGTCTATGATCAGAGGCCTACTCTGTAAAGCAAGCAGGTCAAACTCTCAGCCCGTGATCTGCATGCAACCCACAAAGAATATATCTGCGGCTCAGCCAATTTAACCGTATGTAAGAAACGTTTTAATAAAAATTTCATAAATTAATTTTTACAATATCCTATTTTACATAATTATTAATAACAAACTACAACGTTCGCTAATGGCTGATTAGTAGAATCGTGTTGCATTCATTTTCCTTAAGCACCTTACGAGCAGGCACACCATTTCTCTCCACCAATACTAGCAGTGAATATTTTAGCAGCCAATGGCCACGTCATTAGTCTTGAACTGACTTGTTTGGGGTGCGCAACAGGAAATATTTAACTTTCAGAGAACAAGAAAAATAGGTTTAGTTGCGTCACGCTTATTAATTTGTGCAGTCATTCAGTGTCTGGTACATTAATGTTCAAGAAAAAATATTATTATTAAAATGTTCAGTTATTTTGTGATAACGATGACTAATTTATTTTACCCCTTTGTATTCAGCATGTCTCTATGGAAATAAATCAACGTTTCTATGAAAATGGAAGCTTTTTTTGCGGCCCACATACACTTAAACCTTGTTTACTTGGCCCGTGGTAGCCTTTGAGTTTGACATGCTTGCTGTGTCGGCCTGTGGCCTGAAGAATCCTGAGTTCGATTGTGGTTAGGTTGTGGGCTCAATCCCCAGTAGGGGGCTTGCAGGAGGCAGATGGTCAATGATTCACTCTCATCATTGATGTTTCTATCTCTCTCTCTCCTTTTTCCTTCCTCCCTGAAGTCAATAAAGATATATTAAAAAAGAAAATAAAAAAATATTAGAAAAGAAAAGAAAAAGGCCTAAGTTATTCTTAGTGTTCATTACACTTTTCATCTTCCAGGAAGCCATCATAACCTACTTCCTATATTCAGGTTTCAGCTTAGAGAGACAAAGCCTATGGGTAATGAGCACACAGAAGCAGTAGCAACTATCGCTGAAATCACTATAAAAGCATCACGCTTCAAGGATGCTACTTCAGACTCTGTTGACAAGGGAGCTGAGGGCACAAGCTGCATCACACAGCCTGTGTGGAGCACACCTGGCCTCTCACATCTGGCTCTTTCTTACCACTAAGCTGATGTGCACAAGCTGCCTAACCTCTAACACCCAGTCAGACTGGGCACACTCTTCAGGAGGGCAGTTGCCTAAAGATGCAGGAGCCCCAAGCAATAAGCCCCAGCACGGTTTCCCTCCCACTCACATCACTCAGGAGGAGGAAGTGAGTGTGGCTGTAAGCCCTTGTCCTGGGAGCCTGGTGAACTCCACTCAGGAGTCTGCTTCCCACACTCATTTCTATCGTCACTTCTGTCCAACAGCTTGGCAATCATAATGATCCTTATGTTTAAGGGGTGGACATAGTCCGTCAAGATGACTGGTGAGCATGTGGAAATTCCTGGGCTCACTGTCCTTTGTGCCAGGATCAAAGGCACCTACTCCAGTAGGAGCTACACACCAGCTGAGGACGGCAGGCCCCTGCCTGCACCAAAAGGTGGCTTTGCTCCTCGAAACCATGAGCACTGCACCTGCACGGAAGCCCCTGGCACCCACAGGTGCTGAGGGAGGCAGGCCAACCTCGCTAAGGTGTGCAGCACTGGGAAGCCCGCCTACTTCATCAGACCCACCCATCTCAGGTATCTGAGTTAATGCTTTCTAGAATTTTCCACCCTGACTTCCGGTTGTTCCATCATAACCTACTTCCCAACCTCTGTATAAAACCAAATTCATTGCTGTAGGTAACAAATATAGGAAAATGTCTACTTCATTACTGCTTTGCTGTATTTCCTAATTTTTCTAGACTGAACAGGACACTTATTTAATAAAGTAGACTTGAAAATAGAAATTTTAAAAATCTATATACATAAAAGGCTGAGCAACCATCCTACCGGTAGCTATGGTGTGCAATGACCATCAGGGGGCAGACGCTACGACCGGTAGCTAAGACATGCACTGACCACCAGCAGGCAGATGCTCAAGGCAGGAGCTGCTGAGCCACCGTGACTTGGCAGTGGGGTTCTCAGGTGATGCACCCTGGAACCAGAAAAGAGATAGCCCGATTCCAGGGTACATCACCCGAGAGCCACCCTCTTGCAATCTGGGACCCCTCAGGAGATGTTGGAGAGCTGGTTTTGACCCAATCTTTGCAGGCCAGGCTGAGGGACCCTACCTGCCAGAGGGACCCCGCTCATTCCGCAGACTCCCTCTGAGCTGTGGTGCCACCTCAGGTGCAGTTGGCCAGGGAAAGACCCCTGGAGGTTGGCTTCCAGGGTGTGTCCAGCCCGTCTAGCCCAGTCCCGCCCCAATGGCCATCTTCTAATTAATTTCCTTTCAATGTGCACGAATCCATTCACCGGAGCACTAGTAAAAAAATAAAAGACCTACTAACATGTACTACTTAGTGAGTACCTACTACCTACCAGATACTTGAAGTACACGATCTCTATTAGAGCCTTAGAATAACTCTAACCAGGTGTTTTTCACAGAAAGAAACTGAGGTTCCCAGACAAGGAAACAGGCACAGAGTAACCCAGCACTGAGCCTATGAAGGGATGAAGCCACTGGGCATCCTCAGAGATGATCCCCCAGGCCTTGGAATAGCACCTTCTACAACTAGCCTTGACAAAATTATATTTGAGTATTGAAAGAAATAACTATCTCCTGTTCTTTATCTCTTAAAATTTCTATAAAATCTCCATTGTTTATCAATAAAAAGTTAAATATGTAAAGGGCAATCATAAAGATTAAGAGTCCTTAGTCCTGGGAGGAGGGCCAAAGAGAGACACACCTGCCATTTCGGTCTCGAAAAAGGCAATGAGCGACTGCATGAAAGACAGGATCCACTGGTCTGTAATGTTGGCACTTTCTTTAACCGTGTTCTCATTGTAGAGGAATTCCATTTCTTCCTCCTAGGAATTGACAATTATTGAAATATTCTGTTTGCTTGGGGAAATTAATGTAAAGAAATGAGCTGTTTAAAGCACTTAAACTGGAACAGCCAATACCACGCCCCGCCTCCCCCAATCCAGGCCTATTGGCAATCTAAATTTCTAATTTTCAGTAATATTTTCAGGATAAGCTCTAAACCTGGGATATTAAGTCTTCAATTAGTGAATTACATTTTTGAGAGAAGGAGAAGTTAGGAAAAAAATTATTCTTCTGCACCAAAGAATGATTATGAATTGAGAAACATTCCAAAATATTGTCAATAACTATAGGGTATAGTTACTTTAAATCTGAGGGAGGAACGACAGTAAAATTTGCACGCACTGGAAGACTGTCTACAAATTGAAAATGAGCACTGATTGTAGAGCCCGTGTCTTGCTGCCATGCCCAGACCAGGCACCAGATCGGCAGAGGCTGCAAAGTGGCCCTGCCTAAGAACTGTGGGCCCAACAAGGTGGTTGGAACAAAAAGCCAGGAGCACTAGGGACCTGGGGAAAATGACTGCCTTTCTCAAACACAGGGGAAAATGTCCCCTGGGAAGCTTTATTAGCAGACCTAGACAAGCCAGAGGCAGAAGCAGCAAGTGACCGGACTGCTGGAGTGTGATGTTCAAAGCTCAGCTTCCCAAACCTGTTTCTCAGGAAGGAATAACATCCCATGTTTAGTCAACAGTAATTTACCAAGCAATTCTACTTGTAAGATGCTGGAGGTAAAAAGATCAGTGGTACCGGGCCCTAACCCCAATGGAGTCCTGAAAGCTAAGACAGGAGCCTGCGTCATGGAGCAGGAGAGGCAGCTTCTCCAAGAATGTCATGGGCAGCAGGACACTGCTCGGGAGGCATTTTCATATACATCACAATCATTACTTTAAGTCCGATGACCCCAATGAGAATTTCTCTCACTCAGAGGATCAGCCCAAAGGCACCCATGGAGGGCCTTTACTCTGAGACAGTAGCTGACCCTTCACTGGCTCTGCCATGCCCCACCCCCACTGGTTCCACAAGGGAGCGGGACTGGCTGACTACATGAATGTTCAATGTAACTCTTCTACAGGTGAGGCTGCTGTCTGCACAGATGAGCTTGCCAAGGAGCCCCAGTCCCATGCTACTGGCGCAACAAGGACCCCGGATAACTTTACCAATGGCCTCCCAAGTGTCTCTGACCCTCCACACCACAGGGACTGTGCAAACCCAGCTCAACACAGCTGGGAAGGCAGAGCTCAACCACAGCACGGCAGTCCATACCTTCTGCAGCCTCAGGACATTCTGGATGAAGAAGCGATAGGCATTGTACCAGGGGAGCAGCACGTCCTTCAGAACATCGCGAACACCTTCCTCCTTAAAGCGGAGGTTTTCTGCTCTCACCACAGGGGAGTTAATCAGATACAATCTGGAAGAGAAAAATTATACCGAAAAGGAATGTAGACAGTAAACAATTATTATGTGACATTTTGACAGGGCAACACCAAAACTAGCATTTCTGCTACAAAAGGGGTAATTATGAATACTCTTCTCGTGGTCTACTTAAAACTGATAAAGCTCTTACTGTTACATGCATGAGGCCAAGCACATTATAAAAGGAGATGTAAGCCCAGTGCAGGTCACTGGTGGTGGGTGCAGCAGAGCCCAAAGGCATCGGCCAGGCCCTCCTCCCAGAACAATGCAGGCACCAAAGACTCCCCAGGAGCAGCTGTGTGTGCTCTGCCAGGGCAGAGGGCTGGGGGGTTTTTAATTTGAACACTCAATGATCTCTAGATTTGAAAATGTCATCATTATTTAAAAACCACTTTGGGGAGTTTGAGTCAACATCATACAAATGTAGCTCCCCCTGCAGCAGAGATACATTTTTTAAAAAGCAAATTCTAAACCACATCTAAGGAATATGACTAACAGAATGAGAAATGCTTACATAAAAATGACAAACACACCCTAGCTGGTTTGGCTCAGTGGATAAAGCATCAGCCTGCGGACCAAAGGGTCCCGGGTTCAATTCCGGTCAAGGGCATGTACCTTGGCTGCAGGCTCCCCCCTGGCCCCAATCCTGGTCAGGGCTCCTGCAGGAGGCAACCAATCAATGATTTCTCTCACATCGATGTTTCTCTCAGTCTCTCCCTCTCTCTTCCATTCTTTCACAAAATTAATGGAAAAATATCCGCAGGTGAGGATTAAAAATAAATAAATTGATTAAATGTAAAAAAAAAAAAAAGACGACAAACACACACAGGGCAAAGCATGGGCTTTTACCTGAGGGCATCAGCACCATACTTATGGATGATGGAAAGTGGATCTGGATAATTCTTTTTTCGTTTGCTCATTTTCTGGCCATCGCTTGAAAAACACAAGTCAATGTCACAGTTTATCTTTATATATGGTTACAGCTATTTTCAACTGGAACACATAAATGCAAAGGGCATACAGCCAATGTTAAAGTAAAACGATAAAGCTGTCTGTCAGTACCTGTAAGTTTCTTTTTAAATACTGTGTTGAATCAACAGAGAAGCTTCAGGAGAGATGAAGGAAGACATTATAGTGTAACAGTTAAACATACAGATGAGGCATTTACCCTACAGAAATGAAAATCTATAGTGACACAAACCTTACAACAAACTTGACAGCTTTATTCATTGTCAGAAACACTGGAAACAACTGACTTGAGCAGGTGAAGAGTCAAACTCTGGGTCACCCACATGCTCAGCAAAGAAAAGGAAGGAAGCAGATCCACAAGCTCCCCGGGACCCTCCAGGGAGTAACACTGAGCAAGAAAAGCCAATCCCAAAAAGTTATACATGGTAGGATTCTATTTACATAATAGACTTGAAATGATACCATCTCAGAGATGGAGAACAGATCAGTGGTTGCCAGAGGTCGGGGAGGAAGCTGAAAGGGCAGGAGGATGTGACTATAGTTATGAAAAGGCAACAGAGGGACTGTGAGATGTTCAAAAGGAAGGAAACTGGGAAAACTCAAAAGGGGCCTTTGTTATTTTTCACAACTGCACGCAAATCTACAATTCAATAAAAATTTCAACTGAAAATGTGAAAAAGCACAGCCTGCACAGCCAGACTGCCTGGGTACTTGAATTTACCACTTATTTATTGTGTGACTTTGGGCAAGTTACTGAATTTTCCTGAACCTCAATTCCTCAAATGTCAAAAGAGCTATGGGGATTAAGCGTGTGAAGATGTGTAATAGCTCACAACAGGGCCTACTGCCACACCCTCACTGCACATAAAGCTGGGCACCTATGTAAACATTCATAGTTTCTTATTTTATTTATGTTTTACTTTTAATAACTTGAGGAAGTACAGGGAAAAGAAGAATAAGACTCCTATGCAATACTAGAAACCTCTATAACCCATAACTTCCTCATGTTAAAAATAAGACAACAAAAATCTATACTAAAGGTCCAGTGTACAGATTAAATATAAGCTATAAGCAAAAGAACTTTATGAAATTCTAAAAACACACACACATTATTTTATCACTAGAAGATCCCAGAAAAGACCTCCCCTTCCATTAGGCTGAGCTCTCAACCCAGCCCTGCTTCCAAAGACAGAGGGAAGTGGGTGGGAGACGGAACGCAAAAGACGGACAAATGCACAGGAAAGGAGTGGGATGAAAAGAGCAGCAAAATTTAAAAAGCAGAGAAGAAATAGTAGTAACAGAGGGGGGCATACCTGAATTCCTCTATTCACAAAGGAAGGTTAGGGGAATGGAGAACCTTGTCATTACACAGGAGTGCACCTGCCTTGCAAGGACGAGCCCATTCACAATCACATTCCTGAAAGGTGGTTGTCCGAAGAGAGCCGTGGCCAGCACCAGCAGAGTGTAAAACCTGGAAAAAATGTCAAAAAGAAAGAGTTAAACAAAACAAGAACCGGAAAAGAAACCCAGCATAGGGAAAAACTGTGTTTACTTGTTGAACTGAATTTCTATTTTGGATCTGTTATCCTTCTTGATAACCACATAAAGCAAAGGTTCTTAATTCTGATGACTTATTAAGTCATGTCAGGATCACTGAAAAAAATTACACGCAGGACCCACTGCAGAGCAGCCCCTGATCAGAAAATGAATTGCTTTATTGAAAGTGAATAAAGGCCTGGAGCCAGATGTTGACCCAGTGGAGGACAGCACCATCACTCTCCTCGGGAAGCCAGTTGGACAGCTACAAGGCAGAGAAGGTCAGAGAGGAATGGTTTCTCAGGACCTGCCCAAAAGACAAAACTGAAAATCAAGAGATATCACCTAGCACAGGGCCATATGAGAGTCTTATGACAAAAAACGAACAAACAAACCTCTCTCCCCGCCAAAAACAACATATCTCTCATTCAAAAGTCAAAAGATAGATGACAGCAACAGAGGCAGTTTTTATTCTGTTGGTCACGATATCAAATATGTCGTTTATTTTGCTTGCTAGCTTATTCCCTAAAAGAACTGCATCACATCCCTGTAAGCTGTCCTGATAGTGAGGCTCTTGTCACCTCTAATCTGATTTTGAGAACATCCCAGGACATATACTGATGAGGTTGGAGACCGGACCCCATGGCTAACATGAACACCTGACAAGACATCCCATTCACTAAGGACTGCTAACAGTTGCCAGATGTCACCAGTCCTCTGAGAAACTCCCTGGGAAGAGGAGTTTGTGCCTGGTACTGTTCCTACAGATAAATGGATTGGAAGCTGAACATAGCACATCCCAAAACATTAGGCTGGAATTTAATCAGTTTGTGATGACTCCTGCAATTTGTAAAAGCAGAAAACAACACCCAAATTCCTTAAACAACTCCTGTAAAACCATTACTAATGAAAATATAATTAGAACCTGGGCCAACTAAGATCATCCACAAAAAGAAGGTAACTTTTTTATAATTAAGAGGGCAAAGGTATGGCGTTAAATAAGGCACCAGATAAAACCAATACTCAAATCCTCTCCCCATGATCTTTTAAAATCTAGATTTTTTTAAATGTTAATTTTGTAAAGCTAGTCTAACATCTAAGCACATTTCCAAGCATCCCTTTTTGCATTTGTAGTACCTCACTCTTTATCCTGTATGTACTAGTAAATACTCATTACACATTTGAGTAAATGATTTGAAATACACAAGCTATGATCATCACACATTGTTTTTTATCACATTTCCAGTGAAACAAATCTCTATACTCCAAGATGTCAGTGAAATAAATTCTAAAACTATAGCCTACCATGGGAGAGACGCCTATTCAAGACACTAACGGGTTGCTTGGTATGAGGAGCAGAGGGCAGGAGAGCCTCTCTCCCTAACACAGTCTTCCCTGCACATAGCTGATAAAGACCAGCTGCTCAGTAAAGTAGCTGCTAAATAAAATGAAATCAACAAAACACTTAAAAGAACAAAAAAACATACCATCCTCTGGTTTGATCAATGCCTTCAGCAATGAAGTCTGCAGGAAATGCATCTTCAAACTCCTTCTTATTTTCAAATGGATAATGAACTTGAGCATAGGGCATGCTGCCACTCTCAAACCAACAGTCAAACACTTCAGACACGCGACGCAGCAATCCCTTCCCACAGCGTGAAGGGATGGTCAGATGGTCAATGCTAATAAACAAAAACGTGCCATTTCTATTAATTTTAAGCACAACAGAACTTGCAGTTTAATTGCCAGTAGGAAACACAATCTCCTGAAAGCTCTTCATACGAACAGAAATACTGGCAATTATCACAGGCTTTCAGAGAGCATCAGGAGTGCTCGACCTAGAAGGTTGTATACCAGGGGCCCCTGCCATCTAATGCAAGGACCGAAGCCACCCCTCCTCATTATGACACAAGTTATCAACAATGTAATTCAGCAAACTAGAGTTTGATTTCTATATGCAGCTCTAGGATCTGCTAGAGACCACATCTTAACACACTGGGGACAGATCACGAGAATTCTTGCTTCATATTACAGTGTTTTACAAAGTATCATACTTTAAAAAGAGATCAGCTTGTAAGAATAATAAATAACTTCCAAATGCAATGGGTATTTAATTTGAAAGCGTGCCTGTAACATTTATGTAAAACGTTTTTTGTACTCGTTCAATAGAAGCTTATCTGGCCACTGGGTGGAGCTAGCAATGAAACTACTGGTCTGCAGTGTGTTAATGTGCTAAACCAGTGGTCGGCAGACCGCAGCTCACGAGCCACATGCGGCTCTTTGGCCCCTTGAGGGTGGCTCTTCCACAAAATACCACGTGCGGGCGCGCACGTACAGTGCAATTGAAACTTCGTGGCCCATGCGCAGAAGTCGGTTTTCGGAAAGGAGATAGACGAAACAAGTATACAAGACGAGTGTGGATGGGAGAGTTGGAAGGGGTCGACCTCAGCGAACGTACCTTAATCAGATTGAGGACATTTTTAGCAAAGGCCAGCTTAGGAGTACCCTAATTAAGTTAATAACAATGTACCTACCTAGATAGTTTAAGTTTAAAAAATTTGGCTCTCAAAAGAACTTTCACTCGTTGTACTGTTGATAATTGGCTCTGTTGACTAATGAGTTTGCCGACCACTGGGCTAAGCCAAAGCTCTGAATGACAGAACTGACATGAATGACACACTTAGAAACTGACCTCTCTCTGTGGAGATCTGAGACCTTTGTTCCTGACAGTTCTTCAAGTTCTGCCATTGACCCAATGCATACTATCTGTCAAAACAAAGTTAAAAAGCAGGAGTGCTGCAGAGGCAAAGATCACAGGGTTTATTTCTGTAACATTCCTATTTAGTTTTAGAGGTCTCTGATCTTCAGGACATTTACCACCAAAATGGCTAACCCTCAGGAAAGACAGGTCACTCTCTGAAGAAGTGAGCAGACTTCCCTTCCTTGCTACCGACCCCATATCAGAGGAGGCTCTAGATGGAAATTTTCAACATTCACAGCCATCATCTCAACAAGCATTTTTTGAGGGTTTACTGTGTCCAAATCTGCAAAAATGACCAGCAGGAGTGAAATGCCTAGACCAGGGGTGGGCAACCTTTTTGTGAGTGCAGGCCAAAACTAGCAAAATCTCTGACTCAAAATTCTTCTGTGTGCCAACCCTAATTTTTTGAGAACATGTTACGCCTACTTGATATCTCGTAAGGTGTATGTATGTGAAGAATCTTGAAGAAATAATAAAATTCATTCGAGCAACAAAATATGATGATGAAAAATACATTTATTTTTTAATGTATACATGTTATGTAAAATTATTTATCTAAGATGCACCTACACTGAATTTATCTGAAAAATAAAAGTCGCTATTAAGAAAAAAATTGTAAATGGATGATTATAAGAGAGGGTTTCGCATGCCAGCAAAAGTTACTGGCGTGCCATGTTTGGCACGCGTGCCAGGGGTTACCCACCCCTGGCCTAGACTATTACTCTAAGCTAAGGCATCTTGTTTTCTTCCTGGCATTTGAATTTGATTCTTTAAGCTGGAATCTTCTGAAGTGAAAGCTAGAACTAAATTATTGTGCAGAGTCAAAATAGTCCTACTGCAAGATGTCAGAATTATGTCCTGGTAAGGAGGCTGAGATGGGCCCACTGAGGCGCTCCCAAAGGAAGCCATCTGACAGGGCTGCTGGGGCTTCTCCGCTACCTGGAGGCACCCTGGTCTCTTTCCTCGTCCTTCCTAACTGGTCCTGAAAAGCCTTGATTCAGCCACACTGGAAATTTACTGAGGTCCCCGGGCTGCTGTGGCTCATGGCGGCTCTAATGCTCTCAGCTTTCAGTGATGGACAGAAAACCCCATTAAGGGAATACATCTAAAGTCCTACATATAACATTTACATAGACCTAAACTCATATACAATCACTTGGTTTTGTAGGTTAAAGGTCTGGAATGCTTGGGTAATTTTTTTCAATCTTCCTTTCCATAACTATAAGTTGGACTTAACATGCTAGACTTAGTGCAGAGTATCTGTTCTGTTCATAAATAACTCACAAGAAGAAACAGAGATATGAGCAACACAAACAACTTACTGTGTGGCTTCCCTGAGAAAAATGGAAATTACATTCACTTTTACACAAAGGGAAATTGTTAAAAATTGCATTAGAGTCAAAATAAAGTTAAAGCTCTAAAAACATTCTTATTTATGTCATTATTATAGGAAGGAATGAGAAAAAGATGAAATAAGGGGCAAAGACAGAAAAGAAAGAAGCCCTATTCTTCTACCTCATAGTCACATGGAACTAATGAACAAAGGGCCTCAATAAAAATCAACACATGAAGCGCCACAGCCTCACCTCCTCGAAGTCCTCGCTGACCCACAGCGGGATGGGGGTGCCCCAGTATCTGTTTCTGGAAATTGCCCAGTCTCGTGCATCTTTCAGCCAATTTCCAAACCGCTTTTCTCTCACAAACTCCGGGACCCTGGATGAGCAGATCAGACACCAAATCACCCGAGAACATTACTGAGTAAATCTGTGAAGGGCACCTGCATAGGCTTTGCGGACCAGACGCCCTGGAAACGCTGAGCTCACTCCTGAGAGGTGGTTTTCTGCATGGGCAGCACCAGATGGCCCACAGTGGCAGCACCCGCTGTGAATTCATCCCAGTGAAAATGGCTCTTTAGTAGAAAACATCACTGCACCCAGGCTTCCCTCCCATGGCCTCCCCTGGGGGACGGCCACAGTCCTCTCAACAGTCACCACATGCTAGCTAGCCTGGCCCCGCTCCTATTTAGTTTCTGGATCACCTACACAACAGCGCTTTATTTAATTGTAACTCACTGACGTGGGAACCAATCACCTAGAAAATAAGAGTCCGAACAGGTAGGGTATTGGTAGCTGGCTGGTAGATGCCTCCCCAGGCTCACCTGCACATTGTACATTAGGCTCCAGCAATGAGGCAAGTTCCTTAAATGTGCTTCTCACCTCAATGCCTTCACTAGTACTGTGCCTCCTCTGTGATAACCTTCATCTGGCAGAACTCCCATCAGCAACTCCTCCCCCAAATTTTTATTGTCTCAGATTGATAAATGGCACCTATCCTTTGAGGTTCAGCTTTGCAGAAAAACTTAACAAGTTTCAGACCAATAGGGTCCCCTAGTCCTGTATCATAGATGGCAGTTTATAGGCTGGCACCTCCCACAGGATACCCGGACTACGAATATTCCATACCTAGCAAATCACACATTAAGAGAACTAAAGAGCGTTCGAGGTATAAAAATGAAAGAACAGCTTTTACTTGAGAAATCAGAGTCACTTCGCTGGAAAAAAAAGAAAGAAAGCTATAGCCACTTCCTTTAACTGCCCCGAGATGCTCCCCATTCTTCCAAAATCAAATGCAGTCTTTAAGTTCTTATGGGGAGTAAAAAAACAGTGATTACCCTCCAAACTCTCAGTGATAAACATACTTTTGCTATACATAGATCCAGTCTTACTTCACTTTTATAACAGTTGAGTAACACTTTTTTTATGACTGGATATTAGCTAAGAGCTTTTGTCCCCTCAGTGCAGCCAGCCTGAACAAGACCATCACAGTCTGGGAACTCAAAAACTATCAAAAGTAGTACAGCTGATCCTTGAACATGTGTTTGAACAGCAGGAGTCCAATTATATGCCAATTTTCTCACGTGACCCATGCAGTTCAAACCCGGGTTGTTTAGGGTCAACGCCAAGGCTGGGAAATCACAGATGTGGAGAGCCAACTGTTACACATGGATTTTTGATGAGGCAGAGATT